CCGTAGTCAAGAGCACGTAACTTTTCGGGACTGGGCCCTGCTGTCCTCTACCGCTTTGAGGCTTAAAAGAACTCAATTCTTCCCAGTAGGACGACCCCGCGTACTAGGTGTTGTCGTTTCCCCACGACAAACCAGACTGGTAAGAAGCGGGACGTCGGTTCAATGAACCTTGACGCACCTTGCGCAGAGTACAGCCGTCCGAAGGTGACGGGTGTATCCACTGACAAAGCACCGTCGGGTATTCAAATGCTGCCCGGCAGCTCGGAGCTCTCCCTCCCCTTTGTCAGCATAGGTGAGATCCATTGGCTCAGACCCGCTCGACGAGCTCTAAGTGTTTGTATTCCAACCAAGTCGTGCCGACTTATAGGTGAATATGGCATTGAATGCCACATTCATAGCTTCTTCGAAAGAAGACGAATACACACGGAAGACTTTCATTCTGGCCACGTCATTGCGGAGGCCCTCCATAAAAGACGGTCACTGTGAACCCTTGGAGAAAAGATCGACTGCAATCCCGACAATGAGAGTATGCAGCCCTTGGACAAAATCCACCAATTTCATCATTGCCCAGTCGGGTGGCAAGGAAACGAGATCGCACGCGATATGTTTGGTGAGGCAGCGAGAACTTTCGTAAGTGCTGCAGCTTTAGCTCCTTCCAGGGCGGAAACGCTTCTTTGACCAAAGTGCCGCACGACAGTACCCATTCTTGCGCTCGACCACCAAACTTGGGGATAACTAGCGTCACGCGCTGTTGCTCGGTGTGAAGCATGGCGGATGCTATAGCCATCTTGGCCTCCTTCACCCAGAGCACAAGATTCTCGCCATCATTCCCTCGAAGGTCTTTACGCTCACCATGGGCGGCCTGCGTCGGGAGAGGTCATCCGTCGCCGACGATGGCGCCATGGACGCAGTCGACGCTGACATCTCCTGCTCCAGGTGCTCTAGCGGAGCACTTTTGTAAACGTCTTGAGGTGCGCTTATCGCTCCAGGTCCTTGGGAAGCAAGATGTTGCACGCCCTCAGGGCCCAGCAGAATCTTGACACTTTATAGCCCGTTCTGCATGCTCTGGGGTATTGCTCCATTCTTCTAAAGGATCATTCGTGACGCCTCAAGTATAGGTAAACTACAAGTGCTACCAAAAGAAGTGGGGTTACCGTAGCTCTTTGCTTAAAGGAAGCGTAGCTACGGTCACCAACCTTATGTTCTATACTTAAACCAGTATGCGTATAGCGGATCGCAATCCGCCAACTCAAACATTACCCAAAACCTTTAGCCAAGCAGATACACACTTTCGTTCAAAATAACTGTTTTTAACTTGTTTTATTTGCGGCAGAGCCGCCTGTATCTTTATTACACTGGAAATTCGTCACTTGTTGTGACTTTTGCTGATGCAGAAAGACAAAAACAATTGAGAATTGACTCATTCGCCAAGCCTTCTTGTGCTTTGCGCGGAAGAAAACATCTATGCCGTCAAATCGCTTAGTATGGGCCAATGGCATCTTACACAATGTCGCTTTCCGGATCTCAGTCGAACAAGTGACACAATAGCCGGTCCGGTATCAACAAGTGAGAAGTCATCTTGTCATCACTTGATAATACTAAGACGCCATAGGATAAAAAGTTTAATTTTCTCGCCTCTGATCGATTAAAGGTTGTCCACTGTCGCAATTGGCTATTTGACGTCCAAGATTTTGCGTGCCTAGCAGAGATGGATTCGTAAATCATTAAACTTCACGATGGATTGAAGTTTGTGACACTAACGTTATTTAGTAAAAGATTGTTTGATACTAGTCAAGTCATACTGAAAGTGAGTCCGTATCTTAAACGAGACTTATGACCAGACAGCGTCGCACTTTGCTTCTAAGCAAAAGTCCTCGCTTCTCAAAGGAAGACTTGAGAAGATCCTTCAACATTTCCAGAAGCAAGAAGCACTGATATCACATCTTTTTCGGAATTTCCCAAACCCTTCGCCTTCTGTTCGTATATTTTGACAATCAAGGCGTTGTGAGGAATTAGATTTTAAAGCCACTGGATGGCTGAAGTTTACCAAAATCACGAGTGGGGACCCTAGGATACGATCTCGCCTCTCAGATATAGTGTCGCATCCTTTGATGCTGACCCTTAATGACATCGATATCTGCGCGGTTGAATGAATTCATAAATCTTACCAGAAGGCACAGGCGGACTGAATGTGTTCTCTCGTCAATTTCGTCGAACAAATCAGCGCAAAAGCCGACCATAAACACCACATAAATATCAATTAAAAAAAACTTGGCCACACAAGGCGTTGATCTTGAACACTCCTACAGATGCATGATATCTGAGAGCGACAGTGCTACCCGGCAGCTTAATGACTGCTTTGTGGCACGTCAGTAGACTATGATATATCGTCTCATGCATATTTGTAGCGTCTCCTCATTCGCGCACCAATTGTTCTTTACGGTACTGAAGTTGAACTTCACGTTGAGCAATATTCTCATCGCATCCTCGAGAGAGGTGGCCAAAGTTTAGAAGGACTCAGAGCGAGCTGCACAATGCTGGAGTCCCTACATGATGTTACCACCTCAGAAAAAGGGCTTGATGCCATCGCAGCATTCAGAGCTTGTAAGTGTCTGCTAATTCTCATATCTTTAAAAAGTGAATTTTACACACACGTTAGTCCCTGTCAGACGGTACAAATACCCCGGTGCATCTGTCCCTCCAAAATGTTTCTTGGCGGGATACCTCTTCCACCACTTTACTGCCTGTAAGTGCCCGTTCTCGCGCGCGGCCGCCTAGCTTGTAGATTGTAAACGTGATGCGTTGATGCTCCGTCTGAAGCATGACTAACTTCATAGCCATCTTAGCCGCTTTTGTGAGAGGAGCAATTTCCGTCTACTTTCCGATAGCTGGACATTCATCATAAATGAATGTATGCAACGCATGTGCTTTCTCCAAGCCTAATTAAAGCGTTCTTAGACATGTGTTATCAGCGCATTTTCCTAATCAGTGAATGCTCTCAAATGGCTCTGATCATTAGATCACTGATCGCACAATCTCCGCTATACCTACCAGAGACGAAAGCTCGCCAAGCGTGTCTCATCGTTCCGTGAAGAGATAGGAGCCGAGATCAGTGGCTACATCTTCAAAAAGAATACACTCTTGTCCCGACTGGGTCGTCATATCCTACCAGATCCAACGTGGCTATCGTGCACTTAACGTGAAGCACTAATCATATGAGTCTACGTCGACTAACGGACATAATATGGATTGGCATGCTTCACTTGGGAGTGAAACTGGAAGGCTCATAAGTTGCTATTTCTCTCAAAGGAGTATGATGTGTTTGGATTTGAAACTTAAAAATTTGTACCATGCACTCAGACCAGCGTGTGTGCTGCATTTGCCACCATGCGTCGAATAAAGAATGGAGTTACTCAACTAGCACTCGGAACGGACGGGAGTGGAAGGACTTCATGAAGTGCTTGAGCTGCTTCACTCTATGCATTGTATTGGATTTTATTACAGTCGGTAGTAGGACGTCTGTATTTAATTTTGATCCGCGCTAGACTTCACTCAGTGTAAAAACAAACTATAAAAGGTTATCATGACTCCTTGAGGTGTAGAAGTGTGAAAGACGAGATACTTCAGAAAAAACTATTGACTGCTGTTATAATGTCGCAGAGTTGAGATTATCGATGAGTTCTACATATAACTATACCATTCCACTATCTTTAAAGTTTCATTGAAGAATCGCCGTTTTATCACTCTTTTCAAAGCTGTAAATGGAGCCTGTCGCTTTCTCCATAAACCAGGCAATTGTACCAATACATTGAGTTAGATAACATTTTAAAGATTAACTAAGTCATTACTACCTGCGAGATGATTCTTCAAAAGATATTCAAGATCGGACGGCAAAAGCTTTTACGAATTCTAGCAGTAAGAACATTTCTTCTTGCTGAGGTACACGTTACATTTCTATGTCGCTGGAAAAGTAATGATCTTTACTTCCAAGATTAAACCAAAACACGTCCTAAGATATCCTACCGCGTATATAGGTATCAATAATGGATAGCCTATCATCAAGTCTTTCTGGGGGACATTAGCACGCACCTGTCGTGAGGTTACAAGAGTAATTCCGTCGGAAGTGGTGGCATTCAGGATTTTTCAGGATCGAACAATATCAACTAGTATTGCCACATGGATAACAAACGGTTCAGTGAAAATCCGTTTAATCCGCTGATTCTGTCAAGTGAAGAACGTGCGAAACTCGTAGCGCTTTTGGATGAAATGATTCTCGCAAAGTTTAGCGAATATGAAGAGTATGTGCACAATGAGAAGAAAATTGACTTGTCGCGTTGGAAAAGTTTTTCACGCTATGGTATGACAACGACGTACCTTGAGAGAAAAAAGTCGAATTCAGAATCCAAATTACTTTCATCTCTTATGGTTGGTGCTTTGCCTGGTACATTGGATGATAATATGTTTGGTCTTGTAAGTCCCACATTGGAAGATATGCGTATCAAAGCATCGTATCTGCATGATTTCAGTGCTGCAGCATTACTTGCGACCATTATCGAGCCAAGTTTCGACGATCCATTTCGAACTGTGGTAGTCAAGTGGATAGAGATTGACATACCTGGTGCATCAACTCGACTGATACACAATCGAGACTATGTCTTTGTTGAGGCTTCTGGTATCTTATGTCTTAAGAATGGAGAACGGGTAGGGTACCACATATACCACTCGGTAAATTTTCCACAGACACCCGACTTGCCGCATCGCGTGCGTGGTAACATGTCCTTTAGTTGTATCTTTCGTCAAGAAAACGATCGTACCGATTGTCGAGGCACAGGATTTATGGACCCTGGTGGTGATATGATTCGAACGATGGCTGTCATGGGGATGGTACAAGCTACAATGGCAGGATCCAAGTATTCGTACTGTGGCCAAATGAAGAAGTTGACGTGGCTTGTCGAACAAAACCACAAAAAGGAGCAAGTCGCACATGCTTCAACGTCCGTGTGTAAAACATGTTTGAAAAGGATCAAAACATCGAGACTAATTGTCAGTAAGGCATTTAGTCTTTGTAGATCGTGCTTTGGAACTCTTTGTGGTACATGCACGATCACGAAAAAACTCACGTTTGTCACAGTCGAGCACGAACTGACGCAACGCAAAGTC